TACGATTGTTTTTCAAATAGTATATTACTACTATTTGTTTTTCCAACCAGAATATTATTTTGTATAAACATAGAAAAAAAATTGTAAGAAGAAGAAAAGAAACAAATGAAAAATTCTAAATAAACAGAATAATTCGATTATGTCTTAAGATTATTTGAACAATCTTCTGTGTAAAATAAATAACTTGAAACCAAATCAAACAAATAAAAATAAATTACTTACATAATTTATTTACCGAAACAACTTAACAATAAAACGATCAAGTCGAGCGTGTGACACTCTGTCCTTAAGATAGATTTGCCCCGCTTCAGTGCTTATAGATAAATGATGTCTATCTCCCAGGATACAATGATCTTTACACAAATTGTAGTAGCACTCCAAACAATCTGTACGGCGAACAAACCTGTATTCTATACTCTCAGAATTTTTCTAAAATTATATGAAGAATATATATGCAAAAGAGCAAAATCTAGAAAGCAACAAATGAATTTTTTGGGTCTCTTGACTACTAGAAATGGCCTGGTATTTATAGAGCCAAACAGGTCTAAATTTCAAACCGAACAGATACTGTTTGAAATGAACAGGTGCGGAAACAATTTTGAACCGATAACTGTTGGCAGTTTGAATCTGTCCAAATCACGAACCCGAAAATGATGTCAACTTCCCATTCACTCATAAATGGTTTTGAAGAACCGTCTTCACCGTGTGACTTGCCATGCAGTAAGGAACATGTCACCTTTTTTAACCCACCCCAAAAGACGTATGGGATCCACTCAAATTTGGGCTCACAGTTGGCCCAAAATAAGCCTATAAAATCATATTTTTCCAGCATATATATATATATAGAAAGAGGGAAAGGAAGAGAAAATAGATAAGATAAGTGTCTTACCGTCGAACTAGTTTCACCACTGAAGAGATGAGGGTGCGTTCACCTCTCATAGCAAGATCCTCTTTCTATTTTGTGTAGGTCAACATAGCCGTAAAGCTTTGAAGAACCTCGAAAGGGCTTCGGGACCGCTGTGTTTGCCTCTCGATCACTACCACTATTTAGTTGATCATAAAACCTTGAAAAAAAAGGGTTTGATTCGGCTATTTAGTTAATTAGCCGTAAACAAGAACAAGGGTTTGAAGAACCCTTTCCCCTTCCAACCAATTTTTGAACCCTCCCTCTTCTCCCTCTATTTCTTCTATGTTGCTTTATGATTAAAACCCAGTAGAACCAAAGAGCCAATGTATTTTGATAATAATAAAAAAAAAATAATATATTTTTTGGTAATTGGTGCCAGATTATTTTATTTTGGTGCCTTATTTTTTCGATCATACCATTCACGACATAAATGGTGAGCCGTGAAAAGTGACATATTTTTAATGACTAGCATATGTATGTCGTATATAATTGATGTATTAAAGGCATGCCATATGTATGTCGCAAAAAGTTTCATTATTTATAGCTAACATTGTAAGCTATAAAAAAATCATCATTATTAGCATTAACATCCTACGCAATAGACACGCCATGGTTAAGATACTATTTACGACATTCAAAAAAAGAAAGTCGTAAAAGTGAAAAACTACGGCTTGCATTTATAGTATGTCATTGATGTGATGCCGTAAAAAATCAATTTTGTTGTAGTGAACTTATGTGCTAGGCTTGGTTTGAACCATCATATAAATAGCTTACATCATTATCATTCTTTTTATTACTTGTTATTTGTTTTTCCTTGCATAATTATCATTCTAGTAGTCTCAAACCGCGTCTGGGTTCCATGTTGAGTGTATTAGTTGCATGTTAGGTTATATTTACTTCAAGTTTTGCATGTAAGACGCTTGAGTGGGTATCCGGATAAGCTCTCTTTATCCTTCATAGCATATGTATGTCCTTGTTTGCATTGTTTTTCAATAATCCAAGTCTAAATGCTTTTCTTGTAAAATTGTTTGTTTCGGTTGACTTTATGAATATTATTTATTTTAGTTTATGTTTAAGGCCATGGATTATTAAAAATCCATTTTTTTCATTGAAAACCTCCTATTTTATAGAAAATATGACTTTAGTCATTTAAACTAAAATAAATTATATTTATTTTATTCAAATAACCGAATCTTTAGGGTTAGTAAAGGTTTTAAGCTTAAAAATGGATTGTATGAAATAATTAACCACTTAAAATTATAAAATAGAGAGTAAATAAAGGTTTAGACACCCCATATTGACCGGCCCTAAGACATGGGCACTTTCTTTTGATTACCCAATGATGAAAACAAGAGAGTGTTTTTCACAGAATCCTCAATAAGAAAACTTAGAATTTGAGCCCTGTTTCCAACCCTAAACAACCATAAATTACCTTTCCAAGGGCATATTTTGACCTCACGATTGCATCCAGAATGGTTCGTTTAGTTAGGACCAACCTTCGCTGCACTTCCGGGGGCCTCACTGAAAATTCTCCCGAAATCTGGGTTACAGCACAATTATTTGAAACTTCTGGGCCAAATTGTAATTTTCAAAACTCAGGGAATATTCTGTTATGTGAGGGAATATTTTGTTAAGTCAGGGAATATTCGATCCATATGCAGAATATTTTGTCAATGCTAATTGGGACGCTGACGTAGCGGTCTTGTTGACGTGGCATGACTGGATTGGTCCTTGCTGATGACGTGGCGCTGACTTGTCTTTACCCAAAAAAATTGAATTTAAGGAAAGCTTGGAAGGGGGTTTGAACCCCCAACCTACCACTCAATACCCAACACCTTAACCACTCTGCCAAAGCTTTGCCTTGTATTATAATTCCTCTCAAATAATATTTGACCATTTCAAACCAGCAGGCAAAGTATTTTCGCATTTTTTTTCTTGTGTGTGGGACACTCCTCTACCCCATTTGCCAACCCATATTGTCACACCCCGAACCTGTCCCTAAAAGTTCGAGCATGACCTATACAGACATGGGCATTAAACCTGATATACACAATATAGGGGGCCTGAACGGGAGTATTTAATATCAAGGAACAATATCAAAACATATCCATTGAGTTACTATTGACATACTAGGATCACGCACATCATAACAAGAATATAACATACAGAAACACGTATTCGAGCAACGGTTACATACATACGTTCATGCAGGCCTAGCCCTAAGAATGGGCGTATTACAAAAATATTAATTACAGACAACCCAAGACAGGTAGTTAGACTACAAGTTAAAACTTGACAAAAGTCTACAAAAATAGGACGGATCCACTAAAGTGCCTGAACATATGGGGTTGACAAAAGTAAACGAGCTTCAGGAGTTAAGACTGGCTCCCAGGTTGATTACCTACAGAAACAGATAAATGCGGAGTGAGCGAAGCTCAGTGAATAATAATAACAAGATAATTCAATGCGTAATTTAAGTCATAACTCATAACCATGTGTATGTGACTGCAGAGCTCATAAGGTTAGTCCAATGCTATGTTACTTTCAGAACGGCCTTAGGCTCGGAAATAACAGAACGACCCTTGGCCCAGAAATAACAGAATGGCCCTCGGCCCAGAAATAACAGAATGGCCCTAGGCCCAGAAATAACAGAATGGCCTTCGGCCCAGAATGCTTCAGTTGTACACGAATTCCTTTCACATTTACATTCACATCGCGTTTCAGTCAAGATTATGTAATGTAGGAACTTACGGAAAACATACGGAAAACAAAACATTGATAACGGTAAGCATTAACGGAAATGAATACATATTCCTTGCACTATTACTCACTGTGTGGTGGCGAAACGCGACTTCCTCCTAGAGTGTGCCCTATACACACATAGAACTCACAAGTTAGTTCAAAGTCTTCTTACATTCGCATTTCAGTCATTAACTTCCAGTAAATAAAGGAACACTGCAACAATTTCAAATATTAATTTCACACATCCCAAAGGGTCAAACTAGTCAAAAGGAGCAAACCATGTTTTCCAACATGGGCCGCACGTGCGGCTGTGAGCCCCGTACGTGCGGCAGTGATGCCCGCACGTGCTTTTTAAGCAGTGTTCACGCCTAAAATTTGCCCCATTTCCCGCACGTACGGCAATGATCCCCGCACATGCGGCGAATCTGCAAAAATCCTGTCCGAAATTCTTCAAAAATCCAACTTTTTGGTGGCATCAACAAGGTTTAAAATGGATCTTTAAATGCTTAAAATATGGTTGAAATATCATGTGATTCAAGAGATGGAACATATGTTAATCTCAACACATATTTATCAAAGTGCAAATCAAATCTTGTCCCTTGTATTTCATAAGCATAACATAATCATGGAGAATTGTATAACATAAACATGGAGACTTGTATACACTAAGATCATCCAAGTCCATAATTGTGCATGATCATGTGGAGATAAGGAATAGAATGAAATTAACCACTAAATCAAACTAACATCAACACAAACTCTCAATTTATTCCATACACATCCCATGAATCCTCCATATCAAAGACAATTCTATTCACCAACCATCTCTATCCAAGACAATACCTAAATTTACATACCTTGAGGGTTAAAGCTTCAAATTCTCCACCTCCTTGTCACTCTTCTTTACCCTACCTCTCAACTCCCTCTCTAACCCAAGCTTTTCTCAAGTCAAAGTGTTGTTTAGGGACATGATACATAATACATAAAGATATATATATATATATACATTCCGAATTGAATAGACATTCCGAATTAAGGACAAAATTGAATCAGTTTATACATTCCGAATTGAAATTTCACCAACATGCTTAATATTACCTAAAAATTATGCTGAGCTCAAAAATAACATCAATTTTAGATTATCATGCCTCTAAGGCTCTCAATTTCTGTTCTGGACGTTTTAATGGTAACAGATACCTTTCTTATCCAACAGATAAAATCTCAAACGTTTCTCATTAAGCATTTCAATGCACAAAATAAGTGACTTAAACATGTCAGAAACACATGCAAGGGTCGGGTTATTACACTCTCCCCCCCTTAAATAAGTTTGGTCCCTCAAACTTGTTTTACCTCAGGACGAAAACAGATGCGGATACTGGTGTTGCATATCCTCATCTTTTTCCCAAGTTGCTTCAGTTCCGTAATGTTCTTGCCATTCGACTTTTACCATTGGAATCTCTCGATTTCGTAATTGCTTCACTTGTCGATCCATAATTCGAATTGGTGTCTCTTCATAAGTTAACTTGTCATCTAACGCAATCTGGTGATAATCTATTACATGTGACGGGTCCGGAAGGTATCCTCGGAGCATAGAGACATGGAACACGTTATGGACTTGGCTCATATTTGACGGAAGGGCAACTCGATAAGCTACCGGATCCACTATCTCCAGAATCTGAAAGGGACCAATATATCGGGGTGTTAACTTACTCCTTTTCCCGAATCTCAGATGCGCTTTCATTGGGGTGACTATTACGAACACATGACTACCCACGTCGAATTCCAAATCCCTTTGTTGGTTATCCACGTAACTCTTCTGTCTGCTTTGGGCCATTTTTAATCTTTCTTGGATACGTTGGACCTTTTCAGTTGTCAACTGCACAATTTCAGGCCCTAGCAATGCTCTATCTCCAACTTCAGTCCAACACACGGGGGAACGACACAGTCTTCCATATAAAGCTTCATAAGGGGCCATTTCAATACTCGAATGATAACTATTGTTGTATGCAAATTCTACCAACGGTAAGTGGGTTTCCCAACTTTCTTGAAAATCCAACACACATATACGGAGCATATCTTCCAACGTTTGTATCGTTCTCTCGGACTGACCGTCGGTCTGAGGGTGGCAATTTCAGGCCCTAGCAATGCTCTATCTCCAACTTCAGTCCAACACACGGGGGAACGACACGGTCTTCCATATAAAGCTTCATAAGGGGCCATTTCAATACTCGAATGATAACTATTTTTGTATGCAAATTCTACCAACGGTAAGTGGGTTTCCCAACTTTCTTGAAAATCCAACACACATATACGGAGCATATTTTCCAACGTTTGTATCGTTCTCTCGGACTGACCGTTGGTCTGAGGGTGGAAGGCTGTGCTAAATTTGAGTTCTGTACCCATAGCTTCTTGCAGACTTTGCCAGAATCTTGAAACAAACTTTGGATCCCTATCTGACACAATTGAGACCGGAACGCCATGAAGCCTGACAATTTCATTCACATAAAGTACTGCGAGTTTATCTGCATTATATTGAGTCTTCACTGGTAGGAAGTGAGCAGACTTAGTTAATCGGTCCACAATCACCCATATAGAATTCATACCCCGAGGAGTCCGTGGTAACCCCACAACAAAATCCATAGTCAAGTGTTCCCATTTCCATTCCGGAATTGGAAGGGGTTGCAACAGCCCCGGTGGTCTCTGGTGTTCTGCCTTTACTTGCTGACACTGTAGACATTTAGAAACGAACTCGGCAATTTCCTTTTTCATACCTGGCCACCAAAAAGTTTGCTTCAAATCTCGGTACATTTTGGTGCTTCTCGGATGCATCGCAAACTTCGAAGCATGAGCTTCTTCCATCAATTTTTGTTTAAGCTCCAACACATTGGGAATACATATTCGGTTTTGAAATTTGAGTACCGAATCCACTAAGCTGAACCCCGGTTTTGGTTTTGTCCCTAACTCATCACGTATCTTTCTTAGAGTTTCATCCTCCATTTGATGTACCTTAATTTCTTCGAGTAAGGTTGGTCGAGCCATTACTGCTGCTATTACGGCCTCCTGTCCACGTATCAGAAAATCCACATTCATCTTGTCCAAGTTAGTCACCAATTCCTTTTGCTCCGTTAAATAGGTTTGCCAAACCTCCCATATTTTTCCGACTAAGTGCATCTGCGACTGTGTTGGCTTTACCAGGATGGTAATGAATCTGCAAATCATAGTCTTTAATCAACTCTAACCACCGTCGTTGTCGCATATTCAACTCCTTCTGAGTAAAAAGGTACTTGAGACTTTTGTGATCGGTATAGACTTCGCAAGTAGTGCCATACAGATAATGCCGCCATATCTTTAAAGCAAAAACTACTGCTGTAAGCTCAAGATCATGTGTGGGATAATTCTTCTCATGGGGTTTAAGTTGACGTGAAGCATAAGCAATAACCCTTCCACTTTGCATAAGCACACACCCTAATCCTTTATGGGACACATCACTGTAAATCACAAATTCTTCCGTACCAGACGGTATGGCCAGAACTGGAGCTGTAGTTAATTTTGTTTTCAATTCCTGGAAAGCAGCTTCCCATTCTTCTGTCCATTCAAATACAACTCCCTTTCGAGTTAGTTGTGTAAGTGGCACAGCGATTTTAGAGAAATCTTGAACAAATCGCCTGTAATAACCGGCTAACCCCATAAAACTACGCACTTCAGTCACATTGGTAGGAGTTGGCCAATTCACAATCGCCTCAATTTTGTGTGGATCGACAGAGACTCCGTCTTTTGTGATCACATGCCCCAGAAATGCTACCTCATGTAGCCAGAATTCACATTTCTTTAACTTTGCATACAGTTTCTTTTCTCGGAGTGTTTGAAGGATTACGCGGAGATGGTTCTCGTGAGCTTCTGCACTCCTCGAGTAAATAAGGATATCATCAATAAAGACCACCACAAACTCATCTAAATAAGGCTTAAAGACTCAGTTCATCAGATCCATAAATGCTGCTGGTGCCTTAGTGACTCCAAAGGGCATAACCAGAAATTCGTAATGGTTGTATCGAGTTCGAAAAGCTATTTTCTTTACATCATCAGCTTTAACTTTCAGTTGGTGGTATCCAGATCGTAAATCAATTTTCGAGAAGACTTATGCCCCTTGGAGCTGGTCAAACAGATCATCGATCCGTGGCAGTGGGTACTTATTCTTGATTGTTACCTTGTTGAGTTCCCTGTAGTCGATACATAATCGGAGTGTTCCGTCTTTCTTCTTTACAAATAGAACTGGTGCACCCCAAGGAGACACACTCGGACAGATAAATCCCCTATCAAGCAAATCTTGTAACTGAATCTTTAATTCTTTCATTTCAACTGGTGACATCCTATACAGAGTCTTAGAAATAGGTTGAGTTCCCGGCGCCACTTCAATTGTAAACTCAATCTCGCGGTCTATTAACTGCCCCAGCAATTCTTCTGGAAAAACATCCGGAAATTCACAAATGACCGGAATCAGATCAGTACTTCCATACATCACTTGCCCTTCCAAAACACTGCATAAGAACCCCTGACACCCTTTCTGAATTAGTTTACATGCCTTTGCTGCAGAAATCAAATATGGTGGTGAAGTCACTTCCTATCCCTGAAAAATAGATTCTAGTTGTCCCGGAGGGTGGAAACTGATTTGCTTGTTCAAACAGTCTATAGTTGCACCATTTTCACTCAACCAGTCCATGTCCAGGATAACGTCAAAATAGGTCAAGTCAAGGGGTAACAGATTGGCATATACCCGAACATCTCCAATTTGGAATTCACAAGCAAAATACACAGAAGCACAAATCATAGAGTCTCCCAAAGGTGAAGACACACATAACACATATGACAAATTTTCCTCAGATTTATCTAGATTTTGTGCAAATAATTTTGATACAAAAGAATGAGTAAAGCCAGAATCAAACAGTACATGAGCAGAATAACCATGAACCATAAATGTACCTGACACCACTGTCGCAGCATTTTGCACATCTCCGGGAACTAGTGCAAATACTCTACCTTGCCTTGTAATGTCTTTGTTGTTAGCAGGTTTTGTAGCTGACTTAGTATTGGAATTGGGTGCAGACCCTACTGAACTTGTAACAGCTTTGTTATTATTTTGTTGCTTCCCTTGAGGACAATCCCTTATCAAATGACCCATTTTGCCACATTTGAAACATGTGCCCGACAGTCGGTGACAAACCCCACGGTGCCTCCAACCACATTCTGTACATACAGGGTTGACTCTTGAGTAGGAGTGGTTGTGCTGGAGATCCCTAAATTTTGCTTCTCAGATGACGGAATAGTTGTTCCCTTTGACCATTGAGTATTTTGCCTCTTCCCTTTCCATTCAGAAATTCGGTTCTAAGTCGCGAGGTTTCCTTCTGCTATAATGGCCCTCTCCAACACATCAACATAAGTGGGTAACTTCAGCATGTTGACCTTATCCAGTATAGCACTCCATAGTCCCCCTTCAAATTTGCGCGCCTTCTTGTAATCAGTGTCTACCATGTGAGGGGCAAACCGTGCTAGTTCTGCAAATTAAGCTTCATATTCAGCAACGGTCTTGTTCCCTTGTCGAAGAGTCTCAAATTCGGTCACCTTCTTGTCTCGTATACTTTGGGGAAAGTACTTATCATAAAATAACTCCAAAAATCTGTCCTATGCTAGTCCCGGGTAAGTAGTTCTCGTAAGCATCCACCATCTTCGTGACTCGTCCTCCAGAGTGAAAGCAGCTAGTTGAACTTTTTGGGCTTCGGTGCATGGGAAAACTTCGAATAATTTCTCTATGCCCAACACCCATGCCTCGGCTTTCATTGGTTCTATCCCTCCTTTGAATGACGGCGGTTTCATCTTTTTGAACTCCTTTGTAAGGGTAATAGTTCAGTCTTCAACATGGACATCTTGTACTACTGGTGGAGGTACCGGTGGTGGTGGCGGTTGCTATTGTGGCTGTTGTTGTTGTTGTTGTTGCCGTAGAGTTTCTGTCATTTCCATAATCATTCTTTCCATCCGGTCCAACCTTGCAGAAGTAGCATCCTCCGGGTCTTCTGCTCTGGTTCTCACCATAATCCACACAACAATCAATTATATACCATAGACATAATTCAAACATGTTAGCATTAGCAGAGTACGCTTAACATTGTTATCGATCTTTCATATACTTCCAAAATATCATGCATGATGCTTAAATCCTTTCTAGACACCCTAAAGCTCAATGGTTCTGCGTGTGAGATAGTAACTCGTGCTCTGATACCACTTGCCACACCCCAAACCCGCCCCTAAAAGTTCGGGCATGACCTATACAGACATGGGCATTAAACCTGATATACACAATATAGGGGGCCTGAACGGAAGCATTTAATATCGAGGAATAATATCAAAACATATCCATTGAGCTACTATTGACATACCAGGATCACGCACATCATAGCAGGAATATAACATACAGAAACACATATCCGAGCATCGGTTACATACATACGTTCATGCAAGCCTAGCCCTAAGAACAGGCGTATAACAAAAATATTAATTACGGACAACCCAAGACAGGTAGTTAGACTACAAGTTAAAACTTGACAAAAGTCTACAAAAATGGGACGGATCCACTTAAGTGCCTGAACATATGGGGTTAACAAAAGTAAACGAGCTTTAGGAGTTAAGACTGACTCCCGGGTTGATTACCTACAGAAACAGATAAATGCGGAGTGAGCGAAGCTCAGTGAATAATAATAACAAGATAATTCAATGCGTAATTTAAGTCATAACTCATAACCATGCGTATGTGACTGCAGAGCTCATAAGGTTAGTCCAATGCTATGTTACTTTCAGAACAGCCTTAGGCCCGAAAATAACAGAACGGCCCTTGGCCCAGAAATAACAGAATGGCCCTAGGCCCAGAAATAACAGAATGGCCATCAGCCCAGAAATAACATAATGGCCTTCAGCCCAGAATGCTTC